AAAGAAAATACTGGGCTAACCTGTCATTAAACTCTTAAAGCTTTAACATGTGTTTATTCTGGTATAGCTGCCTATGGCAGTTCCTTTCAAATCAATGTAATCTTAGGGCATAATGTAATGGGGACGTGTTGGATGGGCTCGTTCACAAGAGAAGACTGGTACAGCACTCAGTGCTGAATTGGTAAGTACACAGATAACTAACACAGTAGATGAGAAAGCGGTATCTGTGCCAGAGTTAATATGTTTAAAATGTAGAAACATCTTAAATGCTTACAACTACCTTTGACCATTCCAAAAACCTAAAGGCTCAGCCGAGAGTGAATTTTTATAACGAAGTTATCGATGTGTAACAATCAGATACTGAAATGCTGGCATACCTTTGGCTATAGCAGCACTAGTGGATGAAGCTATAATAATGTTTTAATACACTGTATGAAAAAAGGATGTAGAGTGGATGGGTACATCTGTTGACAATCTTTCTTTTTAATTTGAAGCCACCTGAAGGCTCTAACTGGCTGAATAATAACCTGATCGCCATATGGTTTCCGTTCTTTCAGAGTAATAGCATGCAGAAAAAGAGTCTACTTTTAGCTCTGGCTTCTGTTTGCTTCTTTGTGAGTCTGAGAACGCTTCCTGTCTGCTTGGTGATAGGAAATGTAACCCAAACAGACTTAGATGAGTGACATTTCTCATGCTTGGCTTTCCACTTTGGTAACTTGTGTAAACGGGTACAGAGAACCCATTTGTACAAGCTGCTGCATGCATGCAGATAGAGATGGTGTCTTCGGGATGATTTGCAGCTCATTTTTAACTATATTTTTTATCTTGTTAGCTCCTCAGTATTTATACAGTAGCTATTATGGAGTATTTTCCCATTTATAATTCCTCTAATCTCTCAACAGTTCTGTACTGTCACTTTTCAATTGAATATAGGTTTGTGACTAAAGCAATTGAAAGGCACATTTTTTAAATAAATGCAATTAAATTTTAAAGCCACTTTTGCTTTGGTTAGAAAACTACACATGGAAAACAACTTTTCTCTTCTGCTTATATCTCTTAATTTTTCTTACATTCCCTTGCATGTGCCCTCAATTTCCTTCCTGCCCATATGTTCCTGTTCTTTCATGGTTTCCTGTTCATTTTCTACATTAGGGATACCAGTGGGTAATCATTTTCACTAAGGACAGCCCTGTTTCATCCTAACTGGGGGGAGAGGAAAGAAATGGTAACCATTTTGAGTAAGGTTTAAAGTTTACAGGGATGCTGACAAACATCAGGAGACCATGGGAGGGAAGTGTGATTTTTTTTTATTTATTTATTTTTTAAAAGCCCAAAACAACAGCAAACAGCCCCCAACATCCTACAATCACGAGAGTCTGATAATGTGAGAACTGTCGACTCCAGATTTTGTGAGAAGGGCCTTGCTCCACAATTTTAGCCCCCCCACCCTCTCACTTCCAGTCACATAGGATTTGACATGCTAATTCTCACTTCTAACGAAGTGCCTTGTATTGAATGCCAATACCACAGTAAAATAAGACGATTACATTAGAGGAAGAGGAGAAGAGACACATACCGAAGACTGTGGGGCAGTTTGTTTGGTATTAATGCTGCTGGATCACTGTGCAAAATGAGTGGACTGTATCATTACCGACCTCTGTAGCTGTATCAGTCATCTTATTTAAATAGTTTATTAAATACGTTAATGTATAGAAAATAGCATCCCTTCATCTTCACCGTTGTGGAACCCCAGACTTATATGGAGATGTGTGATTCTGTTGAATGTTTAGGAGCTGGCCCCATGGCCTACTCTGATGGAGCAACACAACTTGTGCCATTTTTACTTATCCAAAGGCAAATTTCCACAACATGCCTATGCCAGGGAGTGTCAAGTTTAAGGATTCCAAGGCAGCATCATGGGCACTGAGTAATAGGGTTGACTTTTGGGTTGACATTTTATTAAACAGTCCTGGTTTGGAAAATTTCAAAAACCCTGCGATTAAGAGGACATGCTACATTACTATAGCCTCACCAACTCTTGCGCTTTGTTTGCCAGTTACAGGATTTTGGCTGGGGCTGGACTGGAGCCAATCTCACAATGACAGAAGACACTCCAGCCCTTTAGCTAATTTGAGCCCTCTGCCTGCCTGCCTGTCCCCAACTTGCCTTCCGCCTGGGACAGAATAACCAATCAGAGCTGTTGCAGATGGAACTGTCTCCCGCTTCTTCTCCCTGCAGCAACCGGAAGTTATTCTCAATGGGAGTGAAAAGGGAGAGCGGGAACAGGGAACTAAAGGGACCAGCAGCTCAGAGCGGCTCTGCTCCCCCCTCCCCTTCTGCAGGGCCGGCTCTAGGATTTTTGCCGCCCCAAGCAAAAAATTTGCCGCCCCAAGCTTCAGGAGTGCAACTGCCAAAGCAAAAAAGAAAGAAACAAACAAAAAACGGAATGCCGCCCCTGTAATTGTGCCGCCCGAAGCACGTGCTTGCTTTGCTGGTGCCTAGAGCCAGCCATGCCCTTCTGTGAGCAATGGGGCAGCTTATTCGTTAAGCACGGAAAATATACAAAACAGAACTTTCATGTTTAGTATACTCCTATGTCACATTCTGTGCTTTGGTTTGGAACTCTGATTTGCTTTGCTGTCTTGCTCAATAAAGGAAGAAATATTAGCTCATGAGAATTTCAGCTTCTCTGGGTTCGTATATCATCAGTTAAAAAAACACCCCACACAATATGTAATGGATTCTAGAAACCTGAATCTATCCCACATGCAGTACAGAATCCAACCCTATGAACAGTGGTTTGGGTCCTTTTTAAAAAAAGCAAAACAAAACAAAAAAATTGCTTTCAGTCTCAGCAGAGCTTAATTATCTGTTTCTAGATGTGCTCAAGCAAGAGGTGTTCTACCTACAGATTCTTGTTAGAAGCTCCTCTATTACTGTATATGCTAAACTATTTCTTTTGTGTGCATGGGCATGTATGTGTTTTTTTCCTTAACCATTTTAATATTTGTTAAGGTCTTTTATTGTGGAGGGTTGGATATTTTATTGGTAACCTCTTTGTGTTGCATTCTTCATACTCTTTACCTTCAGGGCGATGTTGCTGTCATGTTTCACCTTGAGCTGGGAATGCTGCATAGGGGAATGCATTGGATTAATATTTTAGTTCTTGATGCATTGTCCACCCAGGTGCACCTGGCAAGGCAATAAGATGCAGTTGAGTCATAGTTTAATTATTTTGCTTGATGTGGAAAGTGGCAAGGTGCTAGATAGTGATTTTGATATTATGGTGCAGCAGAAGCTGCACTGTAGTTAAGGATGCATTAGAAAATTTCAATCTAACAGTAGAAGGAATGGTGAATTTCTGATGTCAGTGAGTTTTAGTACAACAAAAAATTACATCATATGCTTTTTATATCCATTCTGTCAACAGATCAATACATCAGATTGTCACACGTTCCAGGCATATGGGAAGTTATTTTGCCTTAACACTGCTGAGGTCACTGTTAAGGTTTTTCATTAGAGTATGAATTTGATGAAGCTGGGATAGCTTCAGGACATCATGCCTTGAGTCAGTAGGCGATTGAGCTTTCGCTCCCTCCTAAAATTCATGTAATTTCATCTCTCCCCATTTAAAAAAAACCCCTCAAAGCTTATTTTTTGAGACGTTCTTAAATTACTATTACTGTTGTTTTATTGCCTTGTTTTTATTCTTTTTGTTTACCCATGTTGTCTGTCATTTTGTGAAGGTTGGGGTGTTTTTGTTAATGAGGATTTTTTTATTGTTCAGCACACAAGTCCTTTTTTAGCGGCTGGGGTACTGTATAAATAAAATTGTTAGTGTTATTTCTGCTTTGGATTATCTGTTTGAGATGGAAGCAAAAGTCTTATGGGACATTGCAGTGTATTGCAGTTGTACTTAATATGAAGGTGAAAAGGAGTGCACATCTTTCCCATTAACTTTTTATTTCCCTGCTTTTAAGGTTTTGGGTGGGTGGGGTATGCCCCGCTGCAAGCTTATCTGTCATTAAATGTAGTGTTTGTTGCTAATATATATAGTGTATTTTATGTGCGTGCAAAATATAAATATATACATTTCCCATTTGTAGAAGAAGATCTGTACTATCTGTATAATTAATGTTGCTTGGATGGTATTAAATGATAGTGACAGATCACGTGGGTGTTAAGGGTTTGACACAGCGGGAGGCGGCACATATGTATCTTCAGCATTAACGCGATGGACATCCATTCAGCAGAAGGGTGGCCAGGCCTTTCCCTAGGAAACATATGCCAAAACTATTATCAAAGACTACGTCATGGCCTGCAGCAAACTGGACAGGATGATAATGAGGCGGGAATTGTACAAGAGAGAATATGCGGGCATCCCATTTTATTACAACAGAATGCCAATAAACAGATTATTTCTATGACTAGTACAGTATTTGCCTGGTCAGCAACAATGGCATTTTGGTCTTTATCAGGTTTATACTACTGTTGTTTTACTTTTTGTTTACTTTGGCTGCTATTTTTTTAAATGAAAAAATAAACAAAGGGAAACATCTGAGATGCTGTAAAAAGCGCCGTGGACCCAGGACAGCTCATTATTTCTCCTTGAGGGGGAAATCTGTGGTGCACTCTGATGTCTGTGACAACGTGTAATGAGGCACTCCACTATGTCAAACCCAGAGTCATAATTCTGTCTTATCTGCTGTGATAATAAGACTTTTTGAACTACTGAACTCAACAGAAGTTATAGATGGAAAGGAAATGGATTGTGTTTTGCCACCTATTTAAAGTAGTCAGAATCAGAGACCGGGTAATTCAAATCAGTTAACCTTTTAGGAGTATATATCCCAAATCTAATTTGGAAATCACATTGCTTGAATGGTGCCAAAGTTGCCTAATCCTCATTTTTCAGCAGTTTTCTCCATAGTGTTTGTATTGGAGTCAGTCTCTCTCTCTTTTTTTGGCTGATCCTCTTGTGTGGTTTTTGTTTTCTAAAGGTTTCCCTGGATAGGAACGAGGCCCAGAATTCAAGCCAGTCTTCCTAAGTGAGGGACCCGCTCAGAAACTGCTCACTGATGGACAGTAGGTCTGGCCTGTCACTCTTGCTGTTATGGCAGGAGGTATTGCAATGGTGACCAAGCTATGTCCAGGTTATGCCTTTCTTCAGATACTAAGGACTGCAGGTGAGAACCAGTATTCCCAAACTCATATTTAATTTTACTTTTTTTAAATCCATCTCTCATAAACAAGTTAGCAATGCCAGAAATAGCATTTGCTTTAAATTTATTTGCACTTATATTTCCCCCACTCATTTTATTCTGTCTTCATTATTCTTGGTAGTTGTGTATGAATGTGGACATCTGAATTCCAACAAGAGATGATAGGAATTACTTATGGACTTCACTATTTTGTAATCATTTATCATTAAACTTGAAATAGGCATTGGTCTGATATGTATCTTGGGTGATACTGCAACATGCTCCTGGCATATTGGCAGGTCAGCTTTACATTATTATTTTTACATTTCAACTGGGTCATGTCATTGCATATTAATGAAATTTTGTAGTTAAAGATGAACACTTCAGAAGCTACACTCTATGGGATTTAAAATTATGTAAATGGATTGCTGTTTAAGCATTGTCAGATGGGGAATTGAGCAGGAAAAGGAGGAAGGAGACTTTTCATATTTGAAAAAGCCCCTGAATTTTGAATGAATTTAATTTTACACCCGTTAAAAATATCTAGGTGGATATCTTCAAATGTGTCCATGTGAAAATGCTAATTGTTGCTATTCCCCCTACAGCAGTGGAAAACCATTGTTATTCCTACAAATATTTCAAGTCAATTTACTCTTCTTTTATGTGTATGGGACAACCGCCTTTCTCTGGAAAAGATATTCTTATCTTTTGGAGGAAAAGAAAAACAGACTTTTCTTCAGCTGTTAACTTCCAGTAGTTTTCTTTCACATCTGGAATTTTTTCTGAATAACAAGTTTAAGATTAGTTATGAACATCATCAGTTTTAGCAGTTTTTCCTTTAATTCATTTTAGTGCTCATGAAAGTTGACAGTTCCTGGATACGCTTTTAGAGGAGGTTAGAAATGCATCATCTAGTGTTAATTTGACACTGGAGACTTATGCCTTCTGTTTATGGACAGAATAGGTTGAACCAGTGTCAAGGCTGTTTTGACTTATACAGTCCCCTCAATAGTCTTGTCTTCACTAGGAAACAATGTGTGTTCTTACTACATGTCAGCTAATATGCAGTAACTACAATGAGGTAAAAATCTAGTTGCATTTTTAACACGTTAGCAGTTTGATCTGCTAACGCATGTGAAAATTACAAACCGCCTTATCGTCACTATCTGCCATTTTTGTATGCAGTGTTGTTGTAGCTGTGTTGGTCCCAGGATATTAGAGAGACAAGGTGGGTGAGGTAATAGCTTTCATTGAGCCAACTTCTGTTGGTGAGAGAAACAAACTTTCAAGCTTATACAGAAGAAGAGCTCTGTGTAAGCTCGAAAGCTTCTCTCGCTCACCAACAGAAGTTGGCCCAATAAAAGATATTACCTCACCCGCCTTAACTTCAGTAGAATTTTACCATATGTTAGGTGTATTCCTACCATATGTTAACTTTTTGCCTAATGTGGATGCACCCAAAATCTCTCCATCCTGACCTGGAGATGTATATCCTTTAGGGATGCAAAGATAGTGTAGTCCCCATGCTTGTTCCAACATTTGTGTGTCAGCTGTGGTGTCAGTCTCTGATGAGGACACCTGTCCACCATAAATGAGGCACAGCTCATTTTTCACAGTCCACCAAACTACTGTTTGGCTCTGACTTCATTCATCCTCCAGTTGGGCTTGATCTGATTCTGTGACTGATAGGTGAAAGGTTTTATATTCAAATTCTTATTTCCTAAGCCATCCAGTTTTGTTTTGTTTTTAATCTTTATCACAAGAAAATTACTGTTGAGTACAGGGATTCCAGGGTGGGGAAAATCTGGTTGCAATTCATTTTGTCAAATTATAAAAAACAAGTGTCACTGGGCCCCATGCTTCTGTCAGAGATGGTGAACAGTGACAAGTACCACGCAGGTGTGTGGGATTTTTAAAAAGGTGTGAAAATTATGAAATAGGCTTGGCTTTCTTGGATGGAGCAACTTGCATCATGGGAACTTGACCCCTTGCTTTCAGCCCTCCCTGCGCAACATGTGTGTGCCCCACAACGCATTGTGAAAATTTACAAGAAGGAATTGTGTTGGAGGGTGATACAGGACTCACTGGGATACCTATCCATAGTGAACTGCACTTTGCATAAACACAAGCAGTCCTTGTGAGTATGTGCAGCACTAACGCAAACAGTCAAGTATAAACGCACATGCGCGATCTACTAACTGCTGCGGTCTTAATGCTGATGTAATTGGCACAGACCAATACTTGTAGTGTAGACATGGCCTAACTGTAGTCAGGGCCGGCTCCAGGGTTTTGGCCGCCCCAAGCAGCCCCCCCAAAAAAAAAAAAAAAGCGATCGCGATCTGCGGCAGCAATGCGGCGGGAGGTCCTTTGCTCCCAGCGGGAGTGAGGGACCGTCTGCCGAATTGCCGCTGAATACCTGGACGTGCCTCCCCTCTCCGGAGCGGCCGCCCCAAGCACCTGCTTGCCAGGCTGGTGCCTGGAGCCGGCCCTGACTGTAGTGGATTCAAATTCTTTAGTGAGTGTAAAACAATAAGCCTCTTGGAGGAGGAATGCAATTGCTGGATGAGGCTGAAAGAAAATAAAGAAAATCTTAGAATTCTGCCTTTTTGATTAGAAGTCTGTTCTCCGATGAGCTTGATTTGAGTTCTTTGTGGTGCTAAGTGTCACTAAGGTAGAAACTAAGGAACAAAAGGGACAATTATGCTTTTGGAGAGAAGACCCTAGCTGAAATGTGAAATTATAAGAAATATCTTTGTATGTCAATTTTGGGTCTACTACTTTTTCAGGTATATTTCTGCATTGTAGGCATCAAAGGCCTGCACTAATATGCACTGACATTAATGGGAGTCTTTTCATTGACTTTGATTAGGTCAGGTCCTAAGTAGAAGTAGTAGTTCATTCTGACTTGTAAGCCTGCAGGAAATAGCTATGCTAAATTTGGAAAGAAATATAGCAAAAGAGTCTCCATTACAGTACAGCCGAATATACAGCATGCTTAACCCCTGTCATTATGTATGAAGCTGTCAAATGCTAACGATAATGCAACATTAAATAGACTGATTTTGCACGGCAGCGAACAAGAGCAATTGTTTTTGTTTTCCTCAGTGTATATACAGAGAGATATTTGAATTGTTGGTATATTATCAGAAACCGGGATCCAGAACTTGAAATAGTGCAAAATAATACCAATGCTACAAGCTGAAAACCAAGGCCTGTCAGGTATTATCACATCCACTCCCCTTTTCACTTTATTAGACCCAGAAGGAAATTCTTTCAAATGTTTGCTAACCTTCACTGAACAAGAATAACAACTTAATAAACATGAATTTCCCTTGGGGAATTCTACTGCATGGTGTAGGTTTTCCCCCCAACATCTTGCCCACCTTGTTTTGAGTGTCTTTCAAGGAACAAAACTATAACACTGCTTCTTGATATTACAAAACTATCTCAAGGAGACAAGTTGCACTGTTATTTTCCCAGAAAAATCTTATATTTACTTAATGAAAAATTAGACTAAATGCTACTTTGTTAAGCCCACAAGGAAAGTATATTTCTACTGTGAAGAATTCCCTTTTGGAAATCTCAGACACTTTGAATACTGATACCATTTAACTTTTCAGGAAAAATGAAAAACTGAACTACTGGATATCTGTCAAACTGGAAGTTTTTAATTTTTTTCCAGCACATCCTACTAGTAGACTTACACTGACTATAGCCCACATTTATAAAATGAATGAAAGGAGGAATGGATAAAGGTTATTTCCAGAAAGGAAGTCAACTTATAACTCTTTTCTCATTTTAATTCTAGTGTGAGATGTATTCTCGGCAGTTGCTTAGCTTCAGTCAGTGAAACCCCTTAATAGTAAGAACAGGAAATTGTTAATAATGTTTGGTTCATCTATCTTTCTTGTGAAATCCATGCTCAGTCATAGACTGAATACATGCCAGTTTTCACTGATTTCCCTCTCTTGGTGAATGCCCATCAGCCAGTGTACATAATATTTTGAAATAATACATATGACCCACCTCTTCTAGAATGCCATTTCGTGTCTTTTCTCCTAACCTCTGAATGTGAAGGATTGGTTGTACTAGTTTGTTTACTGTGTCAGAGCTAAATAACATGTTAGTTTCCCTTTGCTAACTCTCATGCTGCAGAGAAAAACTCTCCTCTTTATAGATCTTTTCTGTTTCTTAATTGGTCAACACTGCCTGAATCACTGTAAATAAGCCTCTCACTCCAAGAGTATATACTGGAAAACTATGATGGTAAAAATGAGTGCAACTGATGACATATTTAATGGACTTGTCAGCTCTATGTAAATAAACACAGCTGCATAAATTAAAATGGAGGTCTAAGGCTGTATTGGACAGGGTGCCAATGGAAGTTCTACTGTGTTTAAAGACAGCATCATGGTATTTAGGTGTCATGGGGTACATCCACACTACCCGCCGGATAGCGATCGATCTATCAGGGATCGATTTATCGCGTCTCATCTAGATGCGATAAATCAATCCCCGAACGCGCTCCCTGTCGACTCTGGAACGCCACCAGGGCGAGAGGCGGAAGCGGAGTCGATGGGGGAGCCGCGGCCGTCGATCCTGCACCGTGAGGGTGGGAGGTAAGTTGATCTAAGATACGTCGACTTCAGCTACGCTATTCTTGTAGCTGAAGTTGCATATCTTAGATCGATCCCCTCCTTCCCCCCAGTGTAGACCAGGCCTAAGTAACAACAGATTTTACTCCTCCTTCTGGCTGGTTGATAGTTGTATGTTAATACTCTACAGAGAATAGCAGTAATGAACTCAAAGCTATTATTTGTCAAATCATTTTAGCATCAGCTTTCTATAATGCTCAGATTTAACCCTGCTGTGCATTGTTGTAGTCATACCACAGCTTTGTGCTCATTCCTGCTTAATTATCAAATAAGCAGCGCTCATTCTTGCATCCTGATTGATTAGGAAGTTTATAGAATGGAGGTCATTAT